AACTTAATTTTTTGATGATATTCAAATTATATGACCAGCACCTGTATACCAGAAAAAAGAAGTCAGCATCTCAGCCTCTGCACACTTATTGGACAGCTGTTTTTTTGATAATATGTCCCTTGTGACTCCTTCAACTTTAGGGAAGTGCAATAGTAAATCACCGGCGTGCCTCTTTAACCTCCCTTGGACCAAGCATTAATTTTTTTCTATTGATCATAGACCGGTGCTAGTCATGCTGCTATGTTCTGCACTAACAGAAGCTTAGTCAACACTTGTTTTTGAAGCAGACTGAGCAGTAATTGAGATTAAACAGTACCACGGTTTGTATAACCTGTAAGGATTGGACATGGAATAAGACATAAATAATCCTCTTTCCACTTCTGTAATTTATTTATTCATTTGACTACCTGAGGACAGCTGCCCGTCAGGGGGGACTCCTGAAACTTTGACGTGGGTCCTCACCAAACATCTTTCTGTTGTGCTTTAAAGTCAATGACATGTTTGCATAGTTGGATTTGGTTAAGGAGTGTGCCCCTCCTTCTTACTTACTGAGGGAAGAAAATTATTTCTTCGCATTTATTTTGTGGCGTAATTATAATCTGATGAGGTGTCCCACAGTCCATTATGCTGATGGTATCACAAATAGTTACTAAGAACTGACTGCCCTCTGCTGTCTAAGTGTGTATGCTGCTTTGGTTTATATAGGTGTGGTCGGACAGACGGCAGAATGAGAGGAGGATGACTGTTTTCAAACCAGGACAAAAAGAACTAATGCAAAGACTGACTCAGGCTACAGATTTTACACCCTACTGATCTGTATATTGAAACAACTGTAAAACTAAATAATAAACCCACTTGTGTCAGCATAGCAACTAACAATGTGAAGAAGAACTTCTAGTTAATAAAACTGTTTCAAGTAGTTGAAGGTTGGGGCTAAATAAGGCATCGTTCCCTCTGAAGCCCTATTCAGAAAAAAAAAAAACTACATCTGATCAGATGTGAAACAGAGCAGTGCAGAGCTGGGATTATTTCCAACCTTCATAAATATATATATTTCCTACAACAGTTACTGAAGCAGCCTCTAGTGGGGCTTCTTTAAACCTCCACACCCAACTCTTTCAGACAGGAATAAAAAAAATAGATGATGTGCTGGGTAATTAGTTTGTCTAGACAGTTTGGAAAGAAGGCACTTAAAAACACATCTTTCCCAACAGATGCAGAATATACTGCGCATTTTCTTCACCTAGAGAAAACAAAATCATCATCAGGACTAAAAATACACTCCCTCAACACTATCTATTGGCATCATCAAGGTTTTGGGGAGGCTGATGGAGCACAGGCGATGGTATTGACGCCAAATAAGACGCTGGAGGGAGGTCTTAGGGAGGGAGTGGAGGGAGTTTGATATTCTTTGTTCTGAAGCTGATCTGGTCTTGGAACACAGGGGTCAAAAGTGCTTTCAGTCTCAATTCAGCAAGTTTAATTCTGTTAATCCAAACAAACTGTTGGTGGCGGCCTGTGATGTCTAAACTTTCATGGCATTTTACAATCAGATAGTGTAAGAAAAAAATATCAACAATCGATGCATTTGTGCAATACCACTATCAGTGTTGCTACAGCAAGACAGAACATGCACAAATTTAAAGCAATTAAATGCTGTGAAGGCGACATTTGTTGCAGCCCACACAGTAGATGGACTTCCTAGTAGCACTAATTCACACTAGCATTTGGTGAATCATCTGTGACAACATCACACAGATGAAGAAATGTGATGTGGCTCCTGCCTTGAACCGTCTCTACCAAGGGTGCACACTGACATCAAGTGGTCAGATGACAACTGTCAGCTGGCATATCAGCGAGCAGATACCTTGTATTCTCACACTCACGTGAACAGTGATACCTCAAAGTAACAGGCAAGTGTCATTACCATGACAGCTGAAAAAGCCAGCGCAACATATTGATTCACTGATGTGGAGAAATGGAAACTTCTTTATTTAGGTTTGCATATACAGTATGTAGTTATATTCATTTGCTTTCAATGAGCAATGGTATTGTGGGAAAAAAACGTATTATTCCATCACTGTCTGAGCTTTCTGATACATCAAAACCGAAGACGTCTTTGATATCTTATCTTTGGACTTTCTCAAAAGGTCTTAATGGAGATTTTACTTACAATGTCAATCAAACCACAGAACTCAGTGTGAAATACACAGTATAACATACTTCACACCCAAGACCCAAACACATGTTTTTAGTGGTAGGGGAAACCGGAGCACCCAGAGGAAACCCACACAGACACGGGGAGAACATGCAAACTCCACACAGAAAGGCCAGGGCAACTGGGGTTTGAACCCGCGACCTTCTTGCCACAGTGCTATCCACTGGAGCACTGTGCCGCTACCACTCTCATGTCTGCCAGTAAAAACGACTATAATTCATATTTTTATATTAAAATGGATCACATGACTATAACTATATCTGAAAGGTGTAGCCTGTAGTAATCAGCCCACAGACAATTATCACCCGATTCTGCTGTTCCCCTCAGCTCTATGAAGCTTTAATTTGTCAGACAATCTCATCCAGAAGCAGTTTTCAGCAGAAAAAAATAAAAAAATATAGCAGCACTGTGTGCTACCTGCCCAGCACAACAGCAGACAGACAAAGTTAGCGACTAGCTGGTGAACATAGCGGAGTGCTAAAGAGACAGATATTTCTGTTGGTGGTGGCAAAAAAACAGGAGAATTAATATTAGATCCAACACAACTCCAAATGGTGCTAATGTTGCCTCGTGTCTACTGGATGTGTAAATAGGCAAATGTTTGCAAAGTTCGCTATACCAGCTTAATGATGATAATATGTCAGTGTTGTGCTTACAACTTTTGTCCTCTGTCACGATATGGTCAAAAAATCAGCTACTGCAGGAATGTAGTTAGCTGGGAGGCGATAAGCGTAGGAAGCAGGATACCGAAAGACAGAGCTAGTAACTACAACTTTAATACTGTTTGTCAACTAGGGCTGGGCGATAAAAGGATACCAATAATTATTGTGATATAGTTTTCCACAATAGAAATATACCAAATGTTCAATAAATGTTCGATTTAATTCATTTAAATCATTAATTTTTCTATGAAGATATTTATTTTGTTGAAGAAAAATGATTGTCAATCATTGTAAGTGTTTTGAATGTTCAACCTCAGATTTGTGAAAATATCCACTATTTGGCAAATGTTTGTCATGTTCTGACCATAAAGAATGGTTTAAAACCACAATTAACCATCTGGTGTCTTAAACTTTCACTCAGGAGCAAAAATTAGCCTTTAAACTTGAAAAAAATTATGATTGGACATTTATCGTAATAATTGTCGATATCGACTGATATGACATTTGTGATCGTGATAACATTTTTGGCCATATCACCCAGCGCTATTGTCAACAATTATAATATCTTTTATGAAGACATATTTTACATTATTACAACAGTGTTTTACTATATTCTCATTCAAACATTCATGACACAACTTAGCCTATAACTACATTATAGTACGTTATAAAGCATTTGTTAAATGTTTACAAATTGCTTATAAATGCTAATTTGAGGGACTTAAAATGAAGTGTTCCTGAAAAAGGATTGTAACATTAACATAGCAGCTGAATAGTCTTCACAGTAGTATTAGTATTGTGAAGATTAGTATTGTTAAGTAGTACAAGTATTTTTCCCTCACACTGATTTGGTGACGAGGAAACAAAGTTTTGTGTATTAAAGCAGTAGGGAGTATTCATTTACATACATACATGAACTTAGCTGTAGATCAGTTCTGCCAAAAATAAGACAGAATGACCTAGACAAAAAAGAAGACACTTCCTGAGGGAGAGACAGAGAGGAAGACATAGAGAAAGAGAGAAGAAGCAGTGGAGATGAAGACGGAAAGAGGAAATGTTTGAGGGTGGAGTCTTTCTCATTTGAAACCATCTCTTTACTGTTGGACTCCCGGGTGGCTTTCACGAGCGTTTTATGTATAATTTAACGTAATGTGCAGAGATAAAGCCTCCTATAAAGGCGGCGCGCTCTAAGCTCTTCACAGCGCATTACGTTTTATTCATCAAATTAGTTTTAGTTGGTTTGGTATCCCCTGAGCCGTCTTTAAAAGGTTTAGATGAAAGGACTACATTAATTTTGCCACTAATCAGTTAAGTGACAGCTCCAAGTGACAGCTATGCACTCCTTACCCCCAAAAAACTCTCCGCACACTTGTCTCTCTGCCATGCCTGCTTCAACTCTGCTGCTCCATGTGTCCCTGGTTGCTCCCTGCACCGATCCTCTGCATGTATCCACCTCACCACACAGCCTTCTGATGCTGCCCTCAGCACAGTGTCACTCTTTCCACTGACAACTCAAATCACTGTTGATACTTTTCAGTAAATCATGCATGCTCTTGCAATCTTAGAAATTCATTAAAAAGGCTGCATGTTGCATTTTTCATGACATCTTCAACATTTTCACAAAACTTGAGAATATGTTGTATGGTATATTACTTTAAAGTAGTTATGAAAAGATGACTTAGTAACAAAAAATGTGACTAGGCATGTTTTACGTTTGAGCTTGAAAGCTAAGTTTTGCATTTTTCAAACCTATTTTCAAATGTTTTTGTGTATATATGACTAACTGGGATATCATTTTTTGAAATTGGTCCAGTATTGAGTGAGCATGCTGCAGTCAGCGATAGCGCCCTCTCAAAGTACGTCCACTTAAGTGCTTCTTTTCGCCACAGACAAGTTCAGATTTTAAGTGTCTGACAACAACATGGAAGGAATTCCTACAGAGATAAGGTTTTCAAGAGCAAGATCCTTTTTGTTTAACCAGAAACAGTTGCTTTGGTGTTTGGTGAAGTTTCCTGGTTACCCTTTCCCACCACAAATTAAAATATATTCACCCTCTGAGGTGAAAGCTGCACTTTCATGTACTGTTAAAGAACAAATCGAGGGCTAAAGGGAGGACTTACTGAAGAATGGACTGCTTCGGGAAGATGAAGGTGCCATAGGAGATGCGGTCCACAAAGTTCAGTGGGATCTTCTGGATTTGCTCACAGATGAACATGACAAAGTCGTACTTGACGACCAGGAGAGTGTGTTCTGTGATGAGAACAAGACGTTCTTTTTCATTGTTCCAGTGGTCCACCCTGAAACAACCAGAGAGACTGTGTTAGACCTCCAGTGAAAATCCTGAAACAAACTGAATGTATTGGCTTACTCATCTCTTAAGTAAAGTTGCTTTATTTTAACAATGTTACCTGTGCGTACAATGAGGCAAGGAGGGCAGAGGATGACTAGACACCAAGCACGTCTTTGAAAAAGATACTTTCCTGTGTGTGTTACTTGTCTGATCCTTGTGAAGCCTTGATGTCTTTGTGTATACACACATATTCATGAAGGTTATAATGTTGTTTTGTTGAAACTTTTTTAGAGGCTTTCGCTGTACGGTCATTTGGGAGATTGTTGTTTGATCAGTGATATAAATGGGGTGGGCAAAATAATAGAAATAGTAGGTACACCTATTTCTATTATTTTGACCACCCCATTTATATCAGGCAACTGGTTGTCACCCCTAAAACAAAGCAATGCCTGTTTATGATCCCTCGTCACTGGTTGCATATGTTTACCAGTTAAAACCAGTGTCATTTTCTTTTTTGTTTTATAGCAATCATTTTTAGAAGTCAAATTATAAGACTAATGGAACGTCTGGCAGACAAATATTATTATGTAGCAGAAATATGTTTGTTCTGTTTTCTTATCCTGTTCCCAACTTGGGGTTGGCTTTCTTGCTTAGAGTCAGATGACTTATTTATACTGATTTATACTACTCTCATGTTTTCATGCTGAAGCCTGGATTCCACCAGGCACAGTTGCGCCGCGTTCCGGCTGCATTTTTGATGGAAGCCGCGTCAAGCTAGACAGAGCAGATCGAACCAGTGAGGAAGTCGGACACGTAAACTGCATAAAGAATCTGGTCAATTTTCAAAATCTGTGCAGATACCCAAGTGTATATCAGCAATAAACACAAAAACAGACAAACAAAACAAGGAAATGGAAAACGCTCTGCTTCTAAAATGGCCTCTGTGGGTTTTGAAGCCGTGCAGAGGACGAAATAAAACCAGGCAGCAAATGCAACATTAAAGAGCCGTGGCTGGTGGAATCAAGGCGTAACTATGCAGCTGTAGCCAGCTAGCTTATCTTGGCATAGAGACTGAAAACCAAGGGGGAAAAAGGTAGCCAGGCTCTGTCCAAAAGGTAAAAAAATCTGTTTACCAGCACCTCTAAAGCTCACAAAGTAACAAGGCAGCTTGTTTGTTTCTGTACAAAGAGTGAAATGAAAGAAAGACAATTAGTCATTTTACAGAGGTTAGGAGCCAGACTAATTCTTAGGCAGGAACAGATACCAGGCAACTGGTGGTGACTCCAGGAAGTAAATGCTTCCATCCATGAAAATGAAATTTAAAAAAATAGGTCAGAGGATTTTATCCTTCCAAATCCCTTTGGACTTCTGAACTGTCCCCACTAATGCATACCCTGTGACAAAAGGTTGCCAGTTGACCTGTTGATAGATTTATTTAAAAAGGGCAATAAACCAAAAAGATTAGGAGCCGCTGATCTTACATCCTCTAAGATTCGTCTTTTGACTCCACGTGGAAACCACTGCTGTAGAGAGTTTTTATCTACGTGCATTTAAGACCTTTTTTTGTAAAGTGCAGTTCTAATGTCAGTATTCTGCAGGAGGTTATTTGAACACAAAACACATACAGAAAAGCTGCTCAATTATGTACTGTAAAAGCTTCACAATTTCCAAAAATGCCCTTGGCAAGGATCATACAATATGCATGCAAGCATTTCTAACAACCAACCTTTACCACCACACACACACACAGACAAGAGAACGCAAAGAAAAATCAAATTAACAGAAACACCTTTAAAGCAACAAACTAAAGTCTGCTTTCGCTTATGTCCTCAAAAGTGTTGCCATTTTAATTGATGTCACAAAAAAGCACAATTTCACACAGCCTCTCCCTCACCGCTGTGCACACAACAAATTCACGGTGGCATGGATTCTCTTGGAATGGCTCTCTTTCTTACGGCCTGCTGAGCCGGGTTCATGTGGCCAACTCAAAGTGAAACACACTTGAGTGCTGCTGGCAGCCGTAGGCCAAAGCAGACAGTTCACTGAGCAGCCAAAGCATCATGGGAAAGGTGTGGGTGAAGAGCTTTGACTGTGCTAATGAAATGAGTTAACCTTGACTGGATGGCACAGAGGTGTTACAGAGATCCAGGATCAGACTGGGGTGTCTGACACACTGCTTGCGCTCAGCTTGACACAACAACACAGCGCTACTTAGCAAGACGACGCTGATGCCTAAACTGATGTACCTCTGTAGGACACACTGGGATCCTTTGTGGCACACAAAAGAATTTTTTGACCTCTTGGAAAACACGCTTATTAGCTTTCTTGTCGAGAGGCTGACACCACTGTCATGTCTGTATGCTTAATAGGAAGCTTCTGATCATCATTAGCATCTGATTAGCCTCATTTGGCATAAAGACAGGAAGCAGGGCGAAACAGCTAGTTTTGCTCTGTCCAAAGGAAAAAAGAAAAACACCTACGCTGATAAGCTTGCTAATCAACAATTTATATCGTATTTGTTTATATCGGTTTGTGGTGGACTAAGCTAACTGGCAATCTTCTTATCTGACTCTGAGCAACAAAGGGATTAAGCATATTGTATCTACAGTTGCCCTTTCTTTACTCTTTAAATAACCCACTGTTACTAAATTACTACAGAAATTTTAAAAACTATACCGTTAATTTGATTCTTTTGTTTAAAATGAATAAAACCACCCACTATGTTTGTACAAGTACAAATAAAGACCTCCATGATAAACATGCAATCTCAAATGCATAAATAAAATGGCGATCATTTATAAAATCGCAAACAAATGATAGAGGAACAGCCAAAATAATAAAAGTAGATGAACTGAGATTATCTTACATTTTCTAAAACTAGTGACAATCCTCAGCAAAGCCAGATTTGATGAATTCTTTGTGCTTTTCTGAGATTAGTCATCAAGGCTCCCTCTGGGAAATTCAGCAGCAGTGTCACTGAATGACCATATAATGCCCTCTTTCTGTTGCAAGAAATCCTACAGCGGCTTCTGTAGCGTCGATAACTGCAGGCCAAATGTAGGACAAACGTTAACGTGTGCTGGACAGAGCTGCATAAACGGAATGTATTATTCATTCTCACATGGCCAGCCTTTTAAATGATTCCTGAAAGCTTTTGCAGGAGTGATCCAACCTGACATCGCCAGGTGCACTGGGTAATGTCCTGCAGTCATAACATTTAGCTCTGCGTTTGAGGCAGTTAAATCACTACCTCTGCATTGACGTGTGTGATATTCCTGGGTTAATTAATGGGGACATCTGTAGCAACCACTCTCTCCCTATGGGCAGCAGTTATAGAACACATGTTAATGATGGATTATGAATGAGCAATGCATGATACCGTAAACTCGCTGGGCATTTACTGTCGCACCATTGCTGTCAGTTCAGTGCTGTTCTGAAAAGCTAACCAGCAGATTATTTCATAATAAAAATTAGGGATGCATCGATCCAACTTTTTCAGTACCGATTACAATACCTGGGCTTTGGGTATTGGCTGATGCGGAGTACCGATCTGTGTAAAATTAATAAGCTGTATTCCTCAGTGTGAGGAAGAGACTGGAAATTGTGCTCTTTGGCATGAGCCCTCTAGAGGTGCTTGATTAAGTTGGTTGTGTTATATTTTGCAGTGGTACTGCCAACCCTCGAACAACTGGCTATGCAGATATCTCAAGTAGCTGTAGAGCTTGTTGGCTTAGCAAGCGTGAAATCGATCCAGCTATTTGAGTCAGTATCAGGCCGATATCAGATATCAGTATTGTATCGGTCCATACCTAATGAAAACAATAATTCGTTGCAGCCCTAATGACAACAAGTATAACATCCTGTGAAGCATTCATAGCTGCTCTATAAACAGTCCTCAGTATAATTAATGACTGACAATATAATGTAACAATTGTAATCATATAAAATCAATCACATCATCACAGTTATATGAACATTACATAGGAAATGTGTATTTATCTTATTTACAAATTATATTTATGATTTCTACATGTGCATAAACAGGGGTGAGGGCGGTGGGGTTCAAGTGTTCACGAGGGACTTCCTTTGGCACACATTACGCTGCATGTCAACACAGACATGAAGCTGTGTAACAGAACATAATATCATGAACTCACTCTGCCAGCAGCCAAACGCTGCGAACGTTGCCATCTACTTCTTTATCCACTAGAGCTTCAACGTCTTTGATGGCCTGATTCAGAGTGCCAGGCTGAGGAGACAGAAATGCACGGGTGTCACTTTCTAATTTTCCATTGTGACAATCACACTGTGCGCACAGAAAGCTTAAGGGGTAATCTTTGAGGCAGATGTGCAGCTGGGACTGGTACTCCAACAAAATGTCAACGCGTCTGTGTGTCAAACAAAATAACAATAAACAACAACATGAAGCTTTGGCATATAAAAATGACTGCAAATGAAGAAAGCTGAGCGGGCAGCTTCTGTGTATAAATCTAAATAACTTTAGGTTTTTGAAGAAACAAGAGAAAGCTTCAGTACATAATACACTACACATCCGAATTGTCAGCTACAAGCGTTTCTGTTTTCCAATGCAATACACAATCAAACTGTAATTTTTATAACATGGCATTCTGTCCTTGTACTTTGTGTTTTATTATTTCAATGCCAACTTTGAGAACTTAAAAAGATTAGGTGTTCATACTGTGGGCTCCTGACAGTCTTACTGTAATATGAGCCTGGTGCTGAGCCAGCCTGCAAATCTGCAATAAATTAATAGTCAATATATCAGCCCGGCCAATTTTATCAACACAGTCAGGCAACCTCCTTTTACATTATAGTCTCCAAAAGAGATGTACTGATTGTAGTTATTTAAAGTAAAAGTAGCAATACCAAGTCAAAATTCTCAGTTACAAGTTAAACTCCTCCATTCAAAATGTTACTAGTGAGTGTAGATGTATTATCAGCAAAATATATTTAAATTACTAAAACTAAAAGTACTCAATATGCAGAAAAGCCCTTTCACAGGTTAATTTTGCTGTCTAATGCTATAGTATTATGCAAGTTAGCATACTATGTGGGCAGGTCATGTTTAGGCCTGCCAAGGGAAAATTTACATAAAGATAAATCTGGCAGTCAACAAATGCTAAGCTAACATTTATAGGCCTACTTAATATTGCATATAGTCACTTACAAATAAAATTTAAAAAATACATAAATATACACACACTTGTAACGACAGCTGCTAGGCTGCCTAATGTAAGAAGAACTTAGAAATGTAACAGTATGGAATAACGTTAGAAGAATAAAGCTAACAAAATATTAAATTATAAATGCTACTTTAATATTTTGGTGTTTGGTAGCTTTCGGTATTGATGAATTTGATTGAATTTCAAATATAGCCTACTAGAAGTGATGGGACTTTTTTTTTATTGCAGGAAAAATGCAGAACTATTGTGTTGACAGAACAACGTTCCCGTTTGTCAAGTGGAAAGGTGGCGAAAGTCTTTACCCTCAACACGAAGAACCTCCTGCGCTTAAACTGGTCCAGAGATGACTCCACAGAGATGCCCCCCGCAGCTCGCTCCTCTGTGCGGGCAGCGGCAGCAGCGGGCTGGGTGTCCTCCAGGCCGCCGGAAGACCTGAGCTTATGCTGCGGTTCTTCACTTGGCACTCCTTCCTCCTCAGCTTCTGCCATGATAGGGCTTCACAACACCTACTTTAAAAGTTCAATAACATTAGTGTGTAGCCACTTTAGCCAGCTTCTTTTCTCTGAGCCACCGCAGGGAGACTACGTGACTTTCTTTCCCAGTATCGAAGCTTGAGTTGCCTCAGAAAAATATTTAAGGAACATTACTTTGGGTCAACATTAGGCTACAACGTTAAAGTAATTAAGAGGCTTTACTTACCACTAATTATCAAGGCCACAAGGCGCTGTAAGTGAGATAAAGAGGCAGCAGCAGCAGGTGTATAACTTCCTTGTTCCGTGTCTAACATTTGTTTGAAAGGGGTGTGGACGCCCGGAAGATCAGGCTGCATCTCAACACACAGGCCTTTCATCCCTCTGATCTGATTTACATTAGGCAAACAAGGAACCTTGCGTACTTAGTTTCTGCTCGTCTGGCTTGGGACTGGTTACTGTTCAGAAATAAAATCATGTTTCTAAGTATTCATTTTAAAAAGTATGTAGCCAGGAAAGTAAATACGTATTTGCCATTTATTGTCTGTTTCTGATTTCTGCTGATAGGTCACGTGGACTATGGTAGATGTGAATGAAATTTAACTAAATTGAGGGTTATATAAGACCAGGAGTATTTCCTGTGGTGCCTCTGACAGTGAATGAGGGTAATAATAATATGTTGTATTTTTACAGAAGGCAATTAATTCAACCAAAAAACGATGCTATTGAGAAAACCTTTGTGGAATTTGACATGCATGCATGATTTCTGGACAGGAAACCTGAAAAAGCTTTTCCTATATTGACACAGCACCAAACCAAAGGCAGACAGACAGTCACTAGCTGCTGAAAAAAGTCAATCAAGCTTTAGTCACAAATATTTTTGTTGGGCTCCACCTTGGAAAACAACTCCTCCAAGTTATAGCGAAAGTTTTTAATGCTGATGCTTTTATTTTCTTGTTGTAGTCAGGACTAAATGCCACTGTAAACAGTCCATGTACTGTCATGTTGATTGGATCCATCTGGGTTAGCTAGGTAGGTAGGTTGTTTGTCACAATATGACATGTTATAGAGTGAAATTGTGTTTTGTAACTCCCTTCTGCTACATAGCAGACAATATTACATTAATATAGAATCAATTATATGTTATCATTCGATTGGTTGTTATCATAAAAACAAAAAAACAAACATTTGCCAGCTTGAGCATTTCTGATGTGTGTGTGATTTCTTAATTATTATAGGGTAACCTACCTAACCTACAACATGCTAGCCAGTTCCTTTAATGAAACTATGGTCATTTTGTAAATGACCTATAACAACGGAAACATAAAATGGCTTATACCATGATGACTAGGATCAACATCACACACTGCAGAAATGTCATTCTTAAATAAAATAAAATACATCCACAATGTGAGCATTGTTCATATGTAGTTCATATGAGGGTTTTTTTGTTGTTGTTGAGGTGTAAATTACCCATTTGAGTTTAGAATCATGAACAGCCACAGACTGGCTGTATAATAACTTTTAAGGTGATAATATGTCAGTGTTGAGTCCACAACTTGTTTCTGCTGATCCCAAGTAGAAAGAAAATCAGGATTTCAAATTTAATGGTTACAGTTAGTTTCAACAATATCAGCTTGCTCTTTACTCTACAGTAAGGTTTAATCTAAACAATATTTCTTAACCAGTGGGTGTTGCATATTTCTATCACTGATCTGTTAGCACAGAATTAAGACTGAAGAATAATAACTTAGGTTGAAATATGGAGAACACTATTTATATTGTTTATGAAAGATTTAGCTCGCTTTGATTTCCTCTCTCAAGCTTATGTTCTTGTCATGACATCTTTTCCTAAAATACCAATGAATGGCATTCATGATTTGACTGGACAATACCATAATCAAGCAATTGTGGGATGAACCAGATCACTGAAAGCAAATAAGACTTTTTCCTCCCACAAATCCTTGAATAGCATCAGTATTTAAACATCAGTCTGCATGTAAGCTAATGTTTTCTGACATAGCATACTGTAAGGCCACTTATTTCCTATCACAACTCCGTCAGGGAGCTCTTCCAACGCCTTGTTGGACGTTTAAAACCAATCCAGTTGTAATCTGCAGCCTACAAAGAAATGTAGACAGATTTCTAAAGGCGTTCTTTCTGCACAGTTGCTTAGCTACTCCCACGGACTGCAGGCTGAGATTTCCATGCTCCTTAGTGTTGTGTAAATGGCCAGCAGCTTTCAGTCCAGATCTCATTTAGGTTTTTTTTGGTCTGCAGTCAAGTAATTACTTCTAATCAATCCAGAGCTTCTTTGCTTCAGTGATGGGTTAATAATGCATTTTCTATCATTTCTTCTGCTCAAATAGAAGCACTGGTGCAAGAAACTGGAATTTCTTCAAAATCTCCATGAAATCTGTAAATCTCCTTGCTGTTTTTCCTTTATTTTATTCTGTGGTAAGTGCAAACTAAAGACCAGAGCATAATTGAATCACAGACCTAGTGGTAGTTTTATGGAAATCTCTCAGCATGACAGCATTGTAACACTGAATTTCTGCTGCAACACAATTTACGGAAACCGGTGAACTTGGAAACCCTTTGCCCAATGATGCATCACATCACTGGGAGAGGTGAGGATGAGAATAATCCATATTGTTGTATCTAGGCCAAGCAATCAACACTGTAAACTGGAAATGTTCACTGTTGCCAAGCTCTAAGTGGATCCGTTGGTACTGTATTTCCTTAAGTTTATGCTTTAATCTCTCTACATGCAGTTTTTATGGTGCTCTTCAAAGACACATGTTTATCACCAATGGAATTTACCATGAATTAATAATAGTTTAAATAATACATGTCATATTTCTGGTGGGTGTTTTATATAAACAATGCTGCATGTAGTGCACTATAATGGTATGGTGAGTAGTGCAGCATGTGTTCTCCTTTGTAGCTAAGTGCAGTTAATGTTTGCAAGCAACTTAATATTATATTGCACATTTTGAAGTGTATCTTAAACTGTTCTGAGTGTGTTTGCTTTGATAGTATGTAAGGTAGTGTATTATGTTATGTATGCGCTGTAGCTATACATATAAAATGTATGCTCAACACCTTTTCACATAAGCCCTCAAATACCCATATTGGCACTTTTATCCTATTATAATTTAAAGCTGCTACAATAAATATTTTTATAATAAAGGTAAGTTGAAAGGAGTCACTCATAGTAATAAACCCACAGAGAATTATCACTTCAAAATATGTTTGGTCTGTAAACTTTTAAGGTGATAATATGTCAGTGTTGTGTCACAGCTTGTTTCTGCTGTTCCCAAGAGGCAAAAAAGAAAGAGGAAAAAACAGTTATTGCAGGTTTTTACAGGAAGTACATGGATGATCTCCCAACTTCATAAGTCCATTGGTGAGTTGAAGTCTTGTAAAGTCCTGTAGTGGACGGGCTCATGCTTGTACATCATGTTCATTTAACAGAAGCCAAATTCAAAAATGTATAAAGTCGATCCCAGTTTTGACAGATGCAAACTGTCTCTCTTACTTTACTTGTCTTGGTCTGCAATTAAAGACCATAAAGTACAAACTGAACCAAACTTTAACAGGCATTTTCAGTGTAAAGCACGAGATGCTGTCTGGTTTACGGACACTTACAATACATACGTTGTCTTTACTGTTAGCCTGCTCTTATCCAACCCCCCCCCCACACACATTCCCAGGTATATGAAAGATGAAAATCAAATTTACAGTAAACTGAAAATCTGCGAATTGTAA